CTTGAAACAAGGGAGTTTCTCAGAGACAAAGTGGGTACAACTCTCACCCCCATCATGCAATGTCAGCAATGGAGGGCTGCCCAATTAGAGGATCGGAGTGCAGAGAGGGGAGATGCTCATTTCCAAAAGGACCCTCCAGAAAGGACGGGGTCCAAACAAACTCATAAGGAGAGTTCCCTAAAGTAAAAACTAGACTGAGTTCAACAAACCACTCTGTGCATGCTCAGAGATTCATTCGAGTGAGTTTGTGCTTCTGGAAAACACTTGGTGAATAAAGAACTTTTTGCAAAGACAGGTCTGCGGCTTTGAATGTGCAAAGGGAGGAAATGTAGCTCACAACATCAATCTCCATCCACAAAATAAGTTTACCACCAGGGAGCCCTAAAGATAGCTCTTAAAAACTTAAAAGAAAAGCTACAGTCAACAAGAAGCACCACTGACATTAAAGTCTCTTCTTCCTGCTTTGCACCCTGCCACTTGGCTTAACATTTAATCCAGTGAAGGGTTCTGCAGAACTCAAAAGTCTGCACACTGTTTAAGGGATGTTTTGCCTGGCTGTACGCTATAGCCCAAAGTTTTAGAAGTTTTCAGCACAGCTTCCTTTTGCTTTCCGTGTTCCTCAGAAGCTGCTCTTTCTCAGTTCAGCTTCACACAAGGGAAATCCCTGAATCATTTCCCCCATTCTTTTCTGTCTTTCCTTTTAAGATGACATTCTCTCTTTGGCGACAGAACCTGAGCCAAAGACTCCACTTTTGCAAGCCAGCATTGGAGCGGCACAAATGCAAAGGACGTCTCCAAGGTCAGAGTCAGGCACAGTAACATAAAACAGGAGCCCATGTGCTTCTGCCCACAGCAGCCACCCACAGGGAGCCTCGTGGTGTTACGAAGCACATGCACTGTGCGGTCGTTTCAGTGTGGCAGACAAACCGTAAATCTGCTAATAGTGAGCCCTCTGCCCGCCCATCTTCCCAAAAAGAAAGGCCAGATGAGCCAGGAAATGTCTCCTTCCAGTAACATCCTGGAATGTGAGACTGGGGTGGGAAGAAGGGAATGTGTTCCCCAGATCACAAGGCGCGCGCACGCGTGTGTGTGTCTTCCCTTCTTGCCCTTAGGCTCCAAAACGCTGTAGGCAGTCTCTTTTGGAGGCCCCATCGGTGCGGGTGTTCAAAGACAGGCTGGACATGCACATGGTGGGCATGTCGTGAATGGAGCCGGCTGGTGCCGAAGGTCAGACTAAATGGCCCGGGAGGCCCCTTCTGACTCGCTCTGTTTTTATGTTTTGCAGTACTGATCTTTATTGGCTCTTCACAGCTACAAGACAAAGCAACTCTGAAAACCCTCCAGTGAGTTGGAGAATCAGCCTCTGCTCATGTTAAGAATGTAGAAGCTGAACTGGGGACTTCACCCCAAATCATTCCCTTTCAGTACTTCTATGGGCTCCATCTTCAGGGTGGGTTCCACTGGTGAAACTCTCTAACTGGGCCACTCGTTTCTCCCAACACCTTGCTATGGGGTTGGGGACTGGGCAAGGCAATGGCTTGCCCCTTCTTGGACCCCTTCCCTTCCCCCCCCCCAACGTTCCTCCTATCCTGGTTGGCCTGAGAACCCATGGGAGCAACCCTGAGGGTGCTTCAAAGGTCCCTGCCTCTCCCTGAGTTTCCAAAATTCCCATTCCCGGGTCTTCAAGGTCTTTTTTTCCTTCCTCAGAATCCAGGTCAGGATTGAGTCCCAAGAATGGCGATCAGTTTATTCACCTCACAGTGCCTGGCAGAACTGCTGTCATGGGTTCCCCTGGCTGGGCACTGAGTGAAGGCCCACATCCCAGAAGAGGCACACTAGCAAAAACCCCATGGGCTTGCTTCTCCTCCAGGGTGTTGCAGCTTGCACTTCGAGCTGCCTCTCGTCCTGGCAAGACAAGCAAAGCCGGGGGGGGGGGGGGGGGAATGCCCTGGCCTGCTCTTCCCTGTCTCTCTGCTTGCCAGGACTGAGAAAGAAAAGGACGAGCAAGAGGAGCTGGTGGCAAAGGTGCTGAGAAGGTAGGCTCACCAAGGCAGGTGGCCTGCTGAAGTTGGTTTGAACAAGGCCCCTGAACACCTGGATCTGGTGCTGGTACATGCAATCCCCAGGTAAGGCAAAAAATAGGGGCGCATGACTCTTTGCAGAAGTGTGGTAGGGGAGAACCCAGCCAGCTTCTATAAGGAGAAGGCAAAATGGGGGTGCATGGCATTTGTCCATGCGGGATACACGTGACGCTAGAGATTGGGTCTGGGGCTGCAGAGGTGCATCAGAATCGGCTAAAGCCCAGCAGATTCCAGAGATGTAGAGGCTTCCCTCTGAAGTGACCACAATTGGCCCAAAGATGGCTTTGTGCATGATTCAGGTTTGGAAAGGGAGACAGCATGGCCCCCGAGCTGGCAGGAGTGGGGTTAAATAACTGACCAGTTGGCTGGCTAATCCAAGGGCCTATTTTAGCACAGTTCTCCAGTAACTGTGCTTTGGGGAAAGGCAAGGATGTGTATTCTTCCACCAATGCTAGGATTCACTGAGGAAAGCATCAGACTGGCTTTCAGTCACCATAACTCGCTCTCCTGCATTTATCCTCCAGAAAATTTCCTAGAAGGACCTTTGAAATGAGGGACATTTGTATATGAATTCCCTAAAAACCACGGGAGCAGGAGACAGGAAACAAATCATTTAAAAACCCTGCCCAAATCAGAGGTCTCTCCTTCCACATAAACTGCTGCCCTGCGCTTTAAAAACGTCGAACGTTTCTTCCTTAGGGCAACCTCTGCACTGACTGATATTTTCAGAAGAATGGTCAATTAGAATCATGGGGGGGATACACCAATTCTGACAAGAACAGTCTAGAAAGTTACTGGTCATGAATCACACCTGTGCACAAAACCCCACAGCACTTATTAATCCGACATCTGGCATGAGCAATGCCCTTTTAAAGAGGTGTGTCATTCAGGTCTGGCAAATGGGAAAAAACGTTCTTTCCCAGTTCAGTTAATGGGCATGAGCTCCCCAGCTTTCAAATCATGTTTGGTATCCCAGAACGTCCCTTGGCGGGGTGTGTGAATAGAAGGGAAAAGCTAAGAGGGGGATCCATGAGCAGTGTGTTCCCCGTTCAAATCTCATCTCAGCCAAGAACTGTGAACAACCTGTCAATAGCTTTTTTGCCATACCTTACACGGTTGTTTATAATAACGTTTGTCGGGCTTACCAAACCTGGTGCCCAATGGATGGCTGAGACTGCAAGCCTTATCTTCCCTGACCTCTGGCTGATAAGCGTTACCATCCAAAACCTGTGGAGGCACCAGATTGGGGATGGCTAATATCTGAGCAGTGCTCAAATAGGCGGCATGCACGCTGTGTATTATCGATGAACATGTGCACAATCAAACCTTTGTACAAAATAATAAAACTCCTGGACCGCAGAACAGCGGAGTGGCCTGGATTTTGCGACTGCAGGAGGCTTCGTTCGAGTGCCCCCTCCCCTCATTCCAAAAGGTAGAAATGCCTCTCCTAAAGTACAGTCACTGACAGCAGGAGAACATCTGCTGGCGTTTTGGCTCTGCTCTTTCCCCTTGACTCTGCTCTCCCGTGGGATGCAGCCCCTGAGTTTCCAGGAAATGGGATTGGCCCTCAGGCTGAAGGGCTTCTGCCCTCCTGATCTAGATGCGCCTGGAGATGTTTCAGGTGCAGCCAGTGGCCTTGTTTGGTGTTTGGGGAACTGACGCATCTGGAAGGCACTTTTGGCTCTCACGGCTCTGCTTATTTCTCTTTATTGATCTCCCCTCCCCCACCCCAATCCGGAGTCAGCTTTCACCTACAAATCCCCCAGTGGCTGCTGCCATGCCTGTCACATGTATTTCTGGCAGCAAGCCTGGTTGTATTCAAAATATTTTTTAGAAAAAGATTGCAAAGTCTGCTGCATGCCAGATAGAGGTGAATCATTCAGCCGCAAGTCCAGATGGACTCTTCACAAAGTCTGGAGCGTGAAACGAAGGGAAAGTTTGCTGAATTTCCTTGAATGGGGAAGAAAAGCAGCATGGAAGTTTCTCCTGCTTTTCCTGCCCTGTCAAATGCCAATACAGCAACTCTTCCAAGGTCAGATGATCAACCTGGTATCCGATACCCAGCCTTTCTGCTGCCATTCTCTGCTGAGGTTAAGTAGCAGCCATTGATTTTGCATGGGAAGGTTATTTTTAGTTATTTTTAACCAGTGCTGTGCAGAGCAGAACAGACCTGAGGTTTCCCCTGCTTGGTCCTCTTGCTGTCTGGGTACCTCATGCTTCTGCACAAGGCTGGGGAGCCCGTAACCCCCCAGATGTTGCTGGAGTGCAGTTCCCATCAGCCCCTTCCAGCAGGACCAATGGTGAGTGACGAAGGGTTCTGCAGTCAAATGGCATCCAGAGCCCTGCTTTGGGATCTGCTGCCTGTCTAGCCCAGGCCACCTCAATGGAGTCATGGCTTGAGCTCAGCCACAGCCTCACCCAGGGCATCCTCATTCAGATACAGCGTTGGGAAAATGCTCGCCAACTTACAGCTTGTCTCAAGTGCTGCCTGAGGGGCATTTCTGCTCCTGCTTCCAGGACTCCATCTTCCACAGTCCTTGGCCATTGGCCATGCAGGCTAAGGTTGATGGAAATTGCAGTGCAAAACTTCTGGAGAACATTAAGTTGCCTTCCTCTGATGCAAATTGTGAAATCTGAAATTCAGTGGTCACCTGACCTATTGATGACTGAAGAGAAGGGCAAGGGCAAGGAGTCATCTCTTGGTATGCTTTCTCTCTACTCTCCTAAAATGATTCTGAAAAACAGATTCACATCCAGATTTTAATGGGAAATACTGTTCTGTCCTGAGGAGTGGCTCTTATTGGATCTCTAACCTAGAGTCTGCCATGCCTCTTGGACCACCTTTGGCCTTTGAAAGCAAGCAGTGATGTTCTCCGCCTGCACAGGGCGGGGTGGGAATGGCACTTGTCTAGGACTTACTGTCCAGGCATGGTTCACAGACGGTTTGGTTGAAGCCGCAGGGCTGGACAACCCCTTCTCCGAGGTTGCAGGCTCTGCAGCACTCCCCGCTGGCAGTGTACCTCTCAGTGGGGCAGTTCTCCCTGGCCCAGGCCGAACCCTGTGGAAAGAAGGAAGCAGAAAGAAAGAGGTCACTCACCCTTTCAGTCTGAGATACATGACCAGATAGACAAACGTGTTCCTTGGGATGGAGGGATCTGTCCATTTCAGTTCCCCTCGGGATCTCTCTGTCTAGTCTTATGTTCAGTTCACCCTGAATAGTGAGATTTTTGTTAAATTTTGCACAAAAGTTCAAACAGAATTTGGTGCAAAGTTTATATGCAATTTTGCCTAACGTGCACATTTTTGCAGCGGTTTTCCTTATATAATGTATTTTAACAGCATTTTTGCCTGCACTTTCACCTAACATGTGCATTTGTGTATGCGTGTCTTGATGAAACAACACGCAAAATTAAGAGAGGTGCAGATTTGGATGGATAACTGAGTTTCAGTCTACATAGTCATTGGAATGTACAAAATCAGGCAGGTTTGCATTAAAATGCAAATTAAATTAATTTCTTCCCATAGAAACTATAGAGCTGAGGAACGTGCAGCCCTCCTGCTGTTGGAGTCTATCTTCCATCATCCCTGACCTCTGCCCATGTTAGGGCCTGGAGACCAAAACCATCTGGTGGGCACAGGTTCCCCATGTTCCAGTAGGCAGGGGGAAAAGGTGTAGGTTCCTTGCTTAGCAATGCCAAAAGGCAGGTCCCAATTGGGACATGCCCGGCCAGGTAAGATGGTGATAGGAAGCCTTGTGAATCAGCTTGAGAAATCCTAACAGAATATTTTCAAATGATTCAGTAAAGTACCACACAGCGATAATCTTGTTTGCACTTGCAATGTCCGCATTTTACAGATGCAGACTTGAGTCTGCAGGAGAACCTTTCAGCAAAACTCTTACCCATGGAACACCTGGCAAAGTAACAATAGACACTTATGCCTAGCTAATGAAATCTTCTCATCTGCTACAATGGGGTGGTCTCCCCATCTCTTCCCGCACCAATCGGCACACAGGGTCACTGCGGGGCTAGGACATGATTGCAGCCTTAACAATTGACCCAACACGCAAGGATAGCTGGCGTGAAAGATCCAAAACAAAATACCTCCGCTGGAGCTACGTGAGGCTGAGATGAACTAGTCCACTAAACACTGCTGACATCAATGCTTCTGAGAAGCAGGAGAAACTCTCCTTTTGACAAAGCTCTCTTGCCTCATCCTCCCAACATGTTGCAAATATAAAATCTGATCAGACAACCTCTCTGCCAGAAGGCTTGCCCTTGTGTTCAATGTGGAATGCATTTCTGGAGGTATTTATGTGAGGTTAAAATATGGGAATTTTGTTTCCATTCCTCTTGAATTAAGATATACCCAGTTCACACGTTACAGACCAAACATAAATACAAACAGAATTGTGTGCGCTTTTATATGCAATTTTGCCTAATATACACAGTTTTGCATACATAAATATTTATTTTTGAAAGCATTTCTGCACTGTTCAATTAGTCAATGCTCTCAGAATGGTTTACAAAATAAATAATCTAATCAGTCTGGACAAACAGAAGTAAAAGAAGAGAAGATACAGCAAATTGATTAAAAGCTCATCAGGTATCCAAGAGATGAGATATCCCTTGAAAGTTTTGACCTCTAAAGATGGCTCCCAAACATTCTGAGATGGTTGAGAAGAGTGTTAAAGACAGTTGCAATTAGAGGAATCATTGTATTTTGAACAGTGCATTTTATGTGTTTTATTGCATGGTGAATTATAGTCCTGAATTGTATGCTAACACTGCACAAGCTCTGCAGCCAGAATTGTGTCACAAAAATGAAGCTGATTGTGTTGAAAAAGTTTCAAGAAAAAGTTTTGCAACAGGACGTAGTTGCCCCAGATTTGCCTGCCCACTGATGGATTCCAGTAAAGCCAGCATTCTACAAACTTCTGAAAAACAGAGGCACTGTAGATTTCTGGGTTAAGATTAGGGGCATGCTTGCTCCTTATTTCCAAAACATTTTATGCTAAAACTGTGTAAGCGGCAAAAGCATGTTCACCAGTCCATACATGCATTTGTGGCAGATGCACCATTTTGTCACCCAGATAACCTCCAAAGGAAAACTACTCTTCAGGATTAGAACCAAAGGGGTCGCCTGCAGTGAGGCCTTGCATTGCTTTGCGTGAGGCACAGGAGGTATTTAGGATGCCTCAGAATGGCTGGTTTTAAAATCGCTAGCAGAGCTTGCCCTACCATGAGTTGAAGTGAGGCGGCTGATGCTAGGAGGTGGCAGAGGGGTACCTTTGGGGGCCACAGGTGCTCTGCTGTGAGCCCAGTTGTCCTGCTACCTTGATCCAGGGTGAACGATGGCGTCACCCACTGCCCGTGTCAAAGAAATATTAAATTACCAACACAGTAAACTTTTGATCTGAGAATGGTGAGGTGCCATCTTCTCCTCAGGTAACCAAAATGTTTGGGTCAGCCCTGATCACCAGTTAAAAAGTTATTAAAAAGAATCAGTCCAGACCAAAACATCTGCTGGAGTAGGAATGGATCTCATCCATATTTTTTCCCTTTCTTTACTATCCTTATCAATTTCAGAGTTTGTCTGCCTGTCATTTGAGGAGTGAAGTCAGGGGAAAGAAGAGCTCACTCTGCAAAAGAAAAAATAAAGTCTTGCTCTGTTTGCAAATCCTGAGAATTGCCCGTCCTAAGAGAGGCACCTCCTCTAAGCCTTTTCCTGTCAGATGTCTGAATGTCTCTAAGAGGAAAGCTCAGAGCAGTAACTCATTCAGAGAAATAACAGGCAGCCACCTCCAGAGGATCAGTTTGCTGCATTTCCATCACAAGCAACTGAATGATCCAGTAATGCCCAGGGCAGAGATCAACCCAGCTGGCAAGAGCAAAGCAGGGACTCACAGCAGAGACACAACAAGCAAACTCCTTTTCTGTGAAATGTGTGCTTTAGGCTCAAGGGAACGACTTAAGAAATGCATTTCTCACAGCATGTTAAAAGTGATCTTGTGACACATTATTCTGCCGCTGCACACAGTTTGAGGAATTACCGTAATAATTCCCGGATCCAGCTACAGCTGGAACACATGGAAGTGGTATGGATTTCACACAGGGTGGAATTAGCTAGTGCTTTGCCATGTGTTGACACTGACAGTCAATTGACTTCTCAAACTGCAGTGCATTTTCACTTGAAACCTTATCTCTTAAGATGAATATTTGAGCCTTGCTGGGACAAAAATCCCATGAAAAGAATTCCAAGGAATTCTTCCTATTCTGACTTTGCTTACATCTGAAATTGTATTGTCCTTGTACGCATTAACAAAATGTTGAATTCATCAATTGCCCTAAAATTAGTCCATAAGACTTACGGTTTTTGTAAACATTCATTATTTTCAATGACATCTGAACATTTTTAAAATGCATAAACTTAATGTCTGAAGTACTGCTGAATTTTGTAAAACAAACGAGCAGACAGTGTTTTTGCTCTGTTTGACAATGGCGGAGCTGCTCACTCAGACAAGATTAAAACTGGATAGCTGGGATAGACTTTGTAAGACGGTAACCACAAGTCTACAAAAATAAAGACTGATGTGACATCCCTGAAGCAATTTGCCTAGGTATAGAATCAGACTCAGCTGCTGACTCTTTTACAAAATGTGAACCTGTCTTCCCACAATTTCTTCTGCAGCAGCACAAAACACGAACAGAGGCCCAATAATTGAAAATATATACCTTAAAGTGCTTTACAATCTGGGGTAAAGAGGGTTGAGATGCATTTTCTGCCTCTTGGGAGTAGCACTTAGCTTACAAATAAGCACCATCCTTTTCCAGCAAGGCAGCATCATGCTGAAGGAGCTGTGTGGTTAGGCTGCAACCTCTGGGGTGGGATGGAGGTAAATTCAACAGAGAAGCAAAGCTAACCCCCCTGGGAATAGTTGGTGCTTTGCCAAGTTACGCACTGGCTCACATGCTCTTTTTCCGAGTGATGCTGCTTGCTTGCTTGCTTATTTGCTACCGAAGGGGTGATGAGCCCAGCATATCCAGATGCCAGTGCTACAGCGGCACCATCCAGAATGATGTGCTGCAGCCTTCAGCAGGCAGAAAGAAAACGAGGGAGGTTCTAGTCGGGATGCTGGAGAAATCCGCAGCGGATTCAAACTAACTCTGATTCCTGTGGTTCTGACCTGTGGACCAACTTTTCCTGAGTTGCTTGGATTCTGTTGACTTTTTCACCTTAGGGAAGATTTGTGCAGTGCACTAACGTACATTTACACTAATGTGCAATTGCACAAGGATGCATCGGCGGTAATACACATTTGTAAGCAAACAAAACTGTCTTATAAAAGGGCAGATTCTCTCAGTGAGCAGAGACAGAATGAAAGACTCCTTTGGAGTGATATATGAGGAATCCAGTTTGGGGGTTGGAATCTGTTGAATTCCCTTGGCTTGGCTCCCCGAACTCAGACTGTCCTCCTCTCTGCCCCGAGTCCATTTAGTGCCCAGTGCCTGCATGGGCGTTTGACAGGAAGAAAACTTAAGCTTACTTTGAAACCACTAGCCTCCCCAAGCATTTATGGAGCTGATCCTGGCTTGGCTCAATTCCTGGCCAGGGCCAAGCATGGAGAGGAAATCTGGAGAGTGCAAGAGAGCTGGATGACGGCCTCATTTTTGCATCCTTGCTCCTGAAAATCTGCGAAGCCTCAATAGGATGGATGCAATCAAATCAGTACATTCCCAGGTTCTAAGCCAGGACTACAGAGCTAGGGACCAAATCCACCTTTCAGGGGTTTCCCAGATAGCTGTGTCCAGTGGCAGAGGAATAAGTTTGGAAATGCAGGCATTCACCGTGACAGTCCCCAGCCACATCCTAAGATTCAGGCGGCTGCACTGATGTGTAACAAGAAACCATTTCAAGCAGTTTCGTCTGCAGAAGGACAGGTCTTTTGGAAGCCAAGTGAATCCTAATGGCCCATTTGAGACCAGGCCTCCCCCAGATGCTTTTGCAATCCAGCAGGGCAACCTACATTGCTGTGCAGAG